AACTCAATTACTTATACCTACCGTGTTATCGGGACTTGCAGGACTTAACTTTCTCAATCTCAACTTAATTACTATACCTACCGTGGGCCTAAAAATTTTAACTCTTTTTTTAACGGTTTACTTGTGCCTGACATTCTCTTCGCTTCGCTTTACTTTACCGGACAAGTGTTTGCCTTAAGGGCCTTTCCGGCGTCTGGTGGAGTTTTGCGCGCATTGCTTTACCGGACTGGTGCTTGCCTGTAATGCGTCGCTTCTTCTGTCGCGGCTTGCCGACGTCTGGTGGGTTTTGCATTTTTTCAGGTCTTATTTTAACAATTACTGACTCTTGCAGGACTTTGCAACTTAATTACTTATACCTACCGTGTGCCTAAAATTTTAACTCTTTTTCTAACGGTTTACTTGTGCCTGACATTCTCTTTCGCTTCGCTTTACTTTACCGGACAAGTGTTTGCCTTAAGGGGCTTTCCGGCGTCTGGGGGAGTTTTGCGCGCATTGCTTTACCGGACTGGTGCTTGCCTGTAATGCGTCGCTTCTGTCGCGGCTTGCCGACGTCTGGTGGGGTTTTGCATTTTTTTCAGGTCTTATTTTAACAATTTACTGACTCTTGCAGGACTTTGCAACTTAATTACTTATACCTACCGTGTGCCGAAAAATTTTAACTCTTTTTCTAACGGTTTACTTGTGCCTGACATTCTCTTCGCTTCGCTTTACTTTACCGGACAAGTGTTTGCCTTAAGGGGCTTTCCGGCGTCTGGTGGAGTTTTGCGCGCATTGCTTTACCGGACTGGTGCTTGCCTGTAATGCGTCGCTTCTGTCGCGGCTTGCCGACGTCTGGTGGGGTTTTGCATTTTTTTCAGGTCTTATTTAACAATTTACTGACTCTTGCAGGACTTAACTTTCTCAATCTCAATTAATTACTTATACCTACCGTGTTATCGGGACTTGCAGGACTTAACTTTCTCAATCTCAACTCAATTACTTATACCTACCGTGTTATCGGACTTGCAGGACTTAACTTTCTCAATCTCAACTTAATTACTTATACCTACCGTGTGCCTAAAAATTTTAACTCTTTTTTTAACGGTTTACTTGTGCCTGACATTCTCTTCGCTTCGCTTTACTTTACCGGACAAGTGTTTGCCTTAAGGGGCTTTCCGGCGTCTGGGGTTTTGCGCGCATTGCTTTACCGGACTGGTGCTTGCCTGTAATGCGTCGCTTCTGTCGCGGCTTGCCGACGTCTGGTGGGGTTTTGCATTTTTTCAGGTCTTATTTTAACAATTTACTGACTCTTGCAGGACTTAACTTTCTCAATCTCAAATTAATTACTTATACCTACCGTGTGCCTAAAAATTTTAACTCTTTTTTAACGGTTTACTTGTGCCTGACATTCTCTTCGCTTCGCTTCACTTTACTGGACAAGTGTTTGCCTTTATGGGCTCTTTTTTATATTTTGATATTTTCCCCTTTTGTTTTTTTTTTATTTCAGTTACCGTCATTTCTATATTTTTTTCCTACCAATTTTAATACGAAATTTTTCATACATCACCCAGTTCTATTTCAGATTTTGTTTTATTTTTAGTCTATATTTTTTACTTCACCGTTAGTTTCAGATCTTATTGCTTATTTGTTTTTTCACTTTTAAACACCGCACTTTTCTACATTTGTCATTTATACCTAGTTCAGGTCTAAAATTATTACCTCTTTTCACCTTACGGTTGAGAAACCGATTTTTAAATATTTCAGCACTTTATGAGCAAACGTTATTTGCTGCTCGAATTTACAAGAAAAAGGTAAATTATTTAGAGAATGGATAAAGTTCAACAAAATTAACAACAAATTCTAACCTATATTTTTTATTATAGAGGTTAAATAACCTATATTTCTGTTGCCAGCATATAAGCATATGCAAAAAAAATATCTGGAGTTCATTTGATTAAAGGTATGTAATACTATATAAAAAATAATGAAGGCAATTAATTTTGCAATCAGCCTGATATTTCTTATTTTCTTTACAGAACTTGATAGAATAGAGAGAATGTATACATTTTTTGAAATTAACAACAAGTTTAAATTTATATTTTTTCATTATATGGAGGGATTTGTTGCCAGCAAAGGACAAAAGGCCAAAAGGGAAAAATATCTGGAGTTCTTTTGAACAGAGGTATGTAATAGATAGTATATAAAAAATAATTAGGTCAATCACTCATGAAATCATTCTAATATTTCTTATTTTCTTTACAGGGCTCACGCGGTTCCGAGCTCAAAAGGTCAGATTTTTTTTTCTTCAACATGTGAGACATATTTTATTTGTTCTTTATGTGCATACAATGTTTTATTATGCTTTGGATACACATTTAATCTCTTTATATGCTATGCAATTGTTTTTTCTATATATATTCGTGTATTATATATTCGCGTGTATTATATATTCGTGTATTATATTCGTTAGGCATAAAGAATTCGTTTATTATAAACAAAGTTAGGAAATTTTTCAGCGTTAGATTAGGTTGATAGGCGTAGGATTTTTTTCTCATTCGTTTCATAACATTTAACCTTTGCTTCCATTTATAATAAACCTTTCCTCATTTCTGGTATACCTGTGGCCAATAAGTGTGGTATATGTGGCGGATTAGTGATATTGGTGGACAGAGGTAGCTGACTGTCCTCCAAGACTCACTTTTCCTAACTCGGCAATATTTGTGAATTGAGTATTTGAGTTGATAACCCTTATACCATTATACCCTTTGCCTTTCCCTTTTCCTTCCCTCCCTCTCGACGGGTTGTCACCTTAACGTGGTGAGAGGGTCTGACTTGCCAAAAGTCACCAAGAACAACCCACAGAACTTACTTAATATCAACCTTTTTAAATATTTCTTGTTTTTCTTTTCTATTCAGAAATTTTATACTTCAAATATTCAAGAAGATTTTGTTGATATTAACTTCCCTAAACCCTAAACTTCCTTAAACTTCACTAAAATTGTAGGGTAGTTATAGCAATGGGCCGAAAATCGAAAATGAAAATTTTTGCATTTCTCGACGTATTGAAGGTTTCTGAACATTTTGGCATACCTCTGAAAAAATGGACGTGTGTGTGTGTGTATTTTGTATGTTCGCATTTTTTCGTCCACGTTTTCGGGCGCACGGATCAACCGATTTGAATGGTTTAAAAAACTTTCGATTCCTATTAATAGGAAGATGTCTAATTAGTTTTTGACAAAGGCAGGTCCAGCCGTTACGGAGATATGGAGCAAAGAGTGCAAAAAATAGAAATCGAGTTTTTGAGAGAACGAATCATCCTAATTGTATAATCCAATAAACATTCAGTTCGTAATGATGGGGAAAAGTAGTTATTAGTATTTGGCAAAGGTAGTCCCAGCGGTTTCGGAGATATAGAGCTAAATGTTGAAAAAATGGCAGTTTTTGAGAGAACTAAGCGTCCGATTTAGATGATTCAAAGAACTTTCAGTTTGTTTCAACAAGGTAAATTGAATGTATAAGGTCTAGAAACAAAATAATTGAAATATTTTTCCGTTACCACTCTTCTTTTATCTAGAAAATATTGTAGATAGTTAATTGTGCGTTAATGTTTCTAATAATATATCATAGATAAACAATAGATGTATATCGCATAAATAATTTCATAATTATATACATTTCAGTTAAAAAATGTATTTGTAATTGAAACTGAATATTCAGCTAATCTACAGCATTTTCAGATAATCATCAATTATTAATCATCTTTTCACGATATTTTTAGACAATCTACAATATATTTAAACAATTTACAAAATTTGAATCCCTTAAATTTATATCCCGTCAATTCAGTTAATCCAGACACAAAACGTGCGAGTTTTCAACCACGTGACATTTGACATTTACTTGACAGGTGACATTCCTTATTTGTTGACACAATTTTCACTGTTCAAAATCATGTTTATGTATTATACAATTATTTTTAAATAAAATTGAGCCAACAGGTTGACTGGTCAATGAGCTTGATTTAAATATTCGCAGAGAATAATGTAAAAGATGAAGCACATTACAAAAGTTCGTATGCTGTACAAAAGTATTCTCAGATTACATCGAGGTTAGTAAATGAAAAACAGGAGATAAATTAATAACTAATTCCTATAGAGACAAGATGCAAAACTTTTTCATTCTAGAGAATAAATGGTAAATTATTAATTTTTATAATAAAACTACATATTGATAATGTTCATTGTTTAAACGAACATCCTAATTATAAATAAATTTAAATGTTGACTATTGAATAACCAAAATATTTGGCAATTTTGTATGAATTTAAAAAATCTGCAATTGTCTCTAACATTATAAAGAACCTACATCAACTCGTTATACTTGTAAATCACTCATAAATTATTATATTAATTTTTTATTACAAAATGCCACTGACATCTAGTCTCTTATTATTTTGAAATAATATATTTTTTATGATTAGGTCTCCCTCAAGAATTACAAGCACTAGGCGACAATTATGCAAAAGATGAATTCAAAAGGCATAAAAAATGTACACCAAACGAAGCAGAAAAATTCATGACAGAATGGACGGTATGAATCACCCCAAAATTAAAATAAAATACTATTTTTTATTATTAAATGTTATCTTGGTTTTAGAAATATGCTGTTGATTTATCAAAACAACTGAGACTGGGTTCTCAATATAATCAAGATGGAGCGATTGGACGATCACTAGATAAACATATTTTAGATTTAATGAAGGAAGAACAATTAGTGCAATTATATGAATTAAAACTTGCCGCAGAAGGAAAACAAGAAGAAGGAAAAACTTGATGATGGATAAAAGAAAATAGTAAAATTTAATTGTAACTTGTAAAATGTAAATATATTTATTGAGTCGAACAACAAATTAAATATTAGAAATTTAGTTGATATGTAGTAATTTTTTTTCCTTTTTCTTTATTACCATTATATATATATATATATATATATATATATATATATATATATATATATTAAATGTTAAGTATGAACAATACAATACTCAGATTTTTAATACACACTTTATTTGGTAATTACAGCGTTTGGAGACCATGGTATGCCTCATTTGCAGTGTAATTTCTGTGTTGATGTTTTTTGTATTTTCAAAAAATAAATGTAATTTAAATAAAATATTAAATAATGTGCAGTATATAAGTAACTGTTTTGAAATTACAATGAATATGAGGCATACCATAGTCTCGAAACGTCTGGAATTACCAAATAAAGTGTGTGTTAAAAATCTGAGTGTTGTATTATTCATACTTAACATTTAATATTTGTTCCACTCATATCACAAAATTCTATAATATGTATATATATATATATATATATATATATATATATATATATGTGTGTGTAGGTGTATTATTTGATTAATTAGCAGCCAATGCTTTGATATAAAATATGATTACATCTTTTATTAATTGATTTTATCAGTAATTTATAACATTTTCAGACAATCTATAATATTCAAAGACAATTTGCAATACTATTAGACAATCTGCAATATTTTTAGTTGATTTTTTTAGATGTTTGGTTAATTGAAATCAAATATAATACTAATATTTTAAATTATACTATTTGAAAAATCATTTGTGTCTTATATTTAGATCAAAATACATAATAATGAATACAAAAATATTAATAATAGAATAAATTTAATCAAATATTAATATTAAATGATAAATCCTTCAGATAATTTTAAAATTAGAATATAATTGCATGTAAATCATGTAAAAGGCTAATTCAATTAATTAAAAAGTAAACAATTCAATTTGTTATAAAAAATAAACAAATCATTTATATTATTAATATTATTAAAAAATGTAAGTACATATCTCTACATTTATACACATTTTGATTAAATTTGTATTATTAATAGATTTGTATTTATTACAAGATGTTTTTAGCTAAATTATAAGACACATATGGTTCTCGAAACATACAATTTATAATATTATATTTTATATCAATGCATTGGCTGTTTATTACTCATATAACATTATAGTAATAATATTTCGAGATGATAATTAAGAGACTGGCTACGACAGTCAATATTTTCATAATTTTCAAGAATTTATTTCAATATAAAAGTGAATTTATTATTGCAGTTACCAAATTAAGCAAATAATTCAAACAGCTACACTTTTTTTACAACAAATATTTGTATGTAAATTAAAACAAAGGGACTTTTTAAATAAGCATTCATACAGATAGTAAAAAAACAACTAAATTATTTCTTTAAAACATATCTTAATATATTTTCGTACGTTTTGAGTCACAATTTTACTCTTTTTCAGTGGAAAAACAAAAAAAATTATTATATAAACAAACCTAGTCTTGAAACATTTGTATAATTAATATTATTTAATAAATTAGAGCTGTTTGATTATATTTCTAAATTAATATATATATATATATATATATATATATTATGTATATAATTTGTACCAACACTTTATTCAATAAATTTAAATAATTATTAATTTAAATATTGATTTTTTGATGGTCAAAAACAATCAAACAATTTTTATGTTCTTACGCCTTTTAAAAATATATTAATATTAAAATACGTTAATAATTTATACTGAATATTTTACTTTTTTCACAATTTATTTTAAATTAATATTTCATTCACAATTTAAATTTAGCGGATTTTATAATTTATATCCCTAAGTTGGCGACCCTCATCCGTCATCTATTAAATCGATCCAACTTCACGTTAGTTATTACAAGTCTTGTGAAAACAATATATTGACAGTGCTTTTGTCGAATTGATTACTATTTATATTGAATTGCTACGTCCGAATTAGACATTGTTTTATTATGTTGTGAAATTAAAAGGTGCCGAATATTTTCAGGGAATCTAATTAATCAGGTACATAAACAAATGCGCATATTATTAAGGTCGTTCCACTCCGTCTGGGTAAAGGACCCACACCAGCGTATTTATAATAATCGAGATTTTTGTTATTGATTGTTTAATATTTATTATTTGTTTATGTTTGAAGATAGGTGTTTTGATAATATTAAGGTCGATGGACAAAAAGTGGGTCGGGAGCGGAAAATTCACTTGCACATTCTAAAGAGAAAGACTAGAACTCTGTATGGTTGTTTGTTGACATTAAATGATATAGGACAACTGTAATAAATATAGTATATGTAAATATTTTCATTACAATTGCATCACTAAAAGTGATTTGCATTTGTAATTATAAAATTCTAGTTATAATATTTTAATATCTTAATGGCATGTATTATATTTTTTATTGATGTTTAAATTTTGCATTTTAAGTTATTATTTTTTTTGCATTTTTATGTAAAGAGTTTTCTTTATGTATTTATATATAAAAGTTTGTTTACACAACAAAATACTTATTGGCACAGACTCTGGCTGTGACATGTTTGTTTTTAGATCAATATTTTTATGGTTTTCAAAAATATATTAACATGAAATATTTTTCTTTCATTTGTAAATATTTTTAATATAAATGTAAATTTATTATTGCAGTTTTCAGATTAAGCAAAAGAATTAATAAGTATAGTTTAAACTATCATAAACTTTGTTTTAAATTTTGTAAAAATTAATTATGAAAGATATTTCATTATCTATATTGTATAGAAAAAACAGAAAACCTTGAAATAAAAGTTTTGTAATTGAGTAGATAATAAAATTAAATATTGATCTAACTCCACATATGTCATAATCAATAAATAAGTGATTATATATATATATATATATATATATATATATATATATAAATTTAAAAAAATATCTAATAGATTCCTTGTAAATAATAATTATTATAAAGATTATTCCGTAATAATTTGTATCTTATATTGTGCACTCTCTTTATATCACAAAGTTATAAGTTACACTTTTCGAGACAATGATTTGCCTAATCAAAACATTTTATAAATGAACAATTGGAAACTATGTTTTTTTAATAACAGATTGATTTTAACATTTTTTGTCACAAAAGATTGGATTAAAATGCATATATTGGAGAAAGGACTTTGCAAGATATAAGAAATAATAAATTATATGATACAACAGTTTGATTAAAATATGTGCTTTAATAAGCAATAGTCGATGAACATTATGGGGTGTTAATAGGATTTATAATGTAGAATTTTTGTATCAGTTTTTACTGTATAATTTGCCATTTTATTAATATGAACTATTAACTTAATTAGTGCAAAATTACTTTTAAATAAGAAATTTTATTTGCACCATCAACTAGAGTACTCATAAATTTTATCTGTTTTTTCATGTATACACACATATATATATATATATATGTATATATTCTATATTATGTATATATTCATATATAAATATACATAAACACAAAATTTATATTATGTTTGAAATATTTGTATTGTATACTAATATAAGAATATTTCTTGTTTATTTATTTTAGAGAGCAATGGCTGCGATGGAGCAATTCTCTCATGATTTGACACTAGCGTTGGAGGAATCATCGAGAAGTGGTGCAAATTTTCAGAATAGATGGGGATTACATAGACGTACTAGATCAACAGGAAACTTGCGTAAGTTTCTTTATACTAACATGTATATATATATATATATATATATTAACAGAGTCTAGTAATCGGACATGTTTTATTGATGTTATGCCCGATTACTAGACTTTGTTAATACATATGTCAACATCTAATTCAGAATCATACAAAATATTTATATACAAATTGGTATAGAAAATCTACATGGCCTGGTAGATATCTTTACTACATGTCATATTAATCCAGAAATTACAAAAATAACACTATCATTTCTTATCATAATGTTTTGTCTAGAATTTATCTTTAAAGATTGATTGTGAAAGAATTTTTATTTATTTTAGAGTCTGATTTAAGACTCTGTGTGTGAAGTCAATTTATCTTTGAAAGAAAGCACTTTTAGAAAATGTATTTTTCTAGTTTAACTGCTTCCAATAATAACATTCTTATATTGAAGATTTTTTCTGTATTTTGCAATAATTGCCACAACCGATACGTTTTCAAACTTCTCAATACAGACAAATGGATCAATTCTGCCGTAACAGAGCTCATAAAATAGCGTTGTCATGGCAGCGCTCTCTATGCTTGTTCTTGATATTGAAAATTGTGAAAATGTCTATCTATTTGCCGTGCGATCAGGCGTATTTTACATATAAACAAGCAAGGAATAATGTTATGATAACTGCACCATCTAGAATTATGTTATTATAACATTATTCCTTGCTTGTTTATATGTAAAATGCGCTTGATTGCACAGCAAATACATAGACATTTTCATAATTTTCAATATCAAGAACATGCATAAGAGAGCGTTGCCATGACAGCGCTATTTTATGAGCTTTGTTATGGCAGCTTTGCCCCATAAGTGTCTTTCATGACAAACATACAAATTTCATAAGCATCCTTGTCCAAAATACTAGAGTAAATCCTAATATTTTATACCAGCTTGGACTTCAACAGTCTTATTTTCATAAATTATTCTACTAGTATTAACAAATAATAGAATTAAAAAATTTAACAAATATCCATTGTTGTATTTTGCAATATTTGCAGCAACCAGTACATTATCAAACTTTCCAATTGAGACGTCATAGAATTATTAAATAAGAACAACTTTCTGCAGAAAATTTCTTTTTTCAGTCCAACTTTCTGTTGAAAATTTTTTTTCCCTTCTTTTAATTATGATCTTTTTAATATTTTACACGAAAAACTTACACGAAGACTTTTACATGAAAAACAAGCTCTATTTTAACTTCCCGTAGGCCGAAAATTGAAAATTTTTACATTTCTCGACGTTTTGAAGGTTTCTGAACATTTTGGCATACCTCAGAAAAAATGGATGTGTGTGTGTGTGGGTATGTATGTATGGATACAATTTTTCGTCCGCGTTTTCGGGCGTACGGATCAACCGATTTGAATGGTTCAAAAAACATTCGATTCCTATTGATAGGAAAATGAGCTGATTAGTTTTTGGCAAAGGCAGATCTAGCCGTTTTGGAGATACAGAGCAAAGAGTGCAGAAAATAGAAATCGAATTTTTGAGAGAACGGAGCATCCGATTTGAATGATTCAAAAAACATTCAATTAGTAATGATTGGGAGAAGTGTTTATTAGTTTTTGGCAAAGGCAGGCCCAGCCATTTTGAAGATACGGAGCTAAATATGTAAAAAATGGCAGTTTTTGAGAGAACTAAGCGTCCGATTTAAATGATTCAAAGAACTTTCTGCTTGTCTTAACAAAATAATTCATTTTGGAAAAAAAATTTGTTCAATTTTTTTTTTTTTTTTTTTAGTTTTGTGTATATCGAAAATATTTCAGATTTTATTTTTAATTCTGACTATAGTTCTAATATACTTTAAACAAATAATTTCAATTTTTCAATTCAGTTTATATAATTCTTATAAATATTAGACAATGTTACAATATTTATAATAATCTATTTGAAAACATTCAGTATTCCTCGAACATTTCGTTACGGTACGGGAAGTTCCAGCAATTTGCCTTAAGGCACGATGCCATAATTGCCTCAAGACAGAATTCCACTTACAGCTAATTTATTTTTATATTTTGGATTTCTTGTACCAAGTGCAATGCTATGCGTACAAATCCAAGACCTATCAATCAATAGTTTGAATAATATTAATTTTTTTTTATATATCTAGAGGACAGTTCGAGCAGCCCCCTAGAATGCTTTAGACCCCAAGGTGTTCCAGGGTTAGACGTTCAACAAATAATGCACAGTGACAGCGATGAATCCCATGCTCAAAGGCTAAATCTCAATTCACAGAAACTACTTGGACTTCATGCTGGTAATAATTGATACTAAACATTGCTGTATATATATATATATATATATATATATATATATATATACACTAGGGTGGTCCTTAATATGGACATTTTCGAATTTCCTTGCTCCCAAAAGCTCAAATGCTTCCAAATTGATAAAAAAAACAATTCTCTCATAGTTTTGTGAAAAATTGAAAATTAAAAAAAAAATTTTTAGGTATAACTTTTCGCTAAATTATATCTAAAAACATTTTTAAAATTTTTGAAAATTTTTTCATGCTATTTTCATACAAAGTTCGATTGAATTGCGCACTATCTAAAAGTTAATATTAAGAACTAAAACTTTCAGAATTGTTTTTTATCAATTTGGAAGCATTTGAGCCCTCGGGGGCTATATTATCGAAAATATTCATATTAAGGACCACCCTAATATATATATGAACACATGCATAATAAATTTCAATTGTTTTTTAGGAAATTTTGAATCAGATTCCTTCAATGAAAACTTCTCACCAATGGGTGGCAATGCAGTGATTGCAGGCAACGCTGCACTATCTGCTCACGGAGGAGTTGTAACCAGGATCAGTGCAAGGCGTAAGAGGAAATTCAAACGTTCAACTATTGAGTATGAAACTACAACAACCCCGAGTACTCCTAATCTATCATGTTCACTTAACTTTCCTGTCTCTGGTAAGATAATGGACACAAGTAGTAATAGAAATATAAATGGCTATAAATAATCTATAATTTATATTGTTTTGTAGGCAATATGCTCAAGAAGAAGAGATCGTATAAGCATTCTGCAAGTGGTGGAGGACAAGAGAATTTCAGGGCCAATTTGTTTTTCTGCGGGAAACGCAAGAGGTGTCACAGGGAAAGATCTATGGATTGTGAGATGCGAGATTCTAAGGTAAATATAAATTAAGATGATAATATACCAGGGAATACAATACCGATATACCGCCAGATTTTTCGGCGGTATTAATACCGGTATTTACCCTGAAAATACAGGTATTCTCGGTATTCGCATAAACAGATATGTGGTTTTATAGTATAAACAAATATCAAACTAGTGGTGCATGGCATCGTGCCTTACGGCAAATTGCTGGAACTTTCCGTACCGTTATAAAATATTCAAAGGATATTAAATATTTTCAAATATATTATTATAAATACAGTAACTTTTATTATTCAATTTTTTATGTTGAATTCTGGGACACCTTGAATATAATATAAATTATTATTAGTGTAAAGCTAATTGCTGGAACTTCCTGTACCATAAATTAAAATTTTTAAAAAAGATTCAATTATCTTTTGGAACTCTGAAAGAAATCGATTTTTGAGATTTTTAAAATTTTTGAGTAAAAATTGACCTTTTCGAAAAATTTGATTTTTTTATATTTTGAAATATTTTGGAATTTTTTTTTCAAAGCAATCGCGATACGTTAGCTGCATAGAAACAAAATATCGAAGCGCGTGGGCGCCGTGTCGCAGTATAACGAATAAACATTGGTACGGAACCCATGGAAAAGTGAACAAAATTAATTATTATTAATGAAATATGTGATAATTTGATGTGCATATATCTAATGATCATTTTTGTTCGCCAAATGACTTTTTTTCCGCTTTTTTTTTGTTGAATCTCCGAAACCGCTAAACCTGCCAACCCAAAAATTTCATCAGTTGTCTATTTTGTCGATACAAATTAAATGTTTTGTGAATCATACAAATCGGACGCTCCGTTATCTCAAAAAATGCATTACCATTTTTGAAAAATAGTTCAAATATTTCCAATTATCCAAAATATTTCTAAGTATGAAAAAATCAAATTTTTCAAAAAAGACAATGTTCTCAAAAATTTCAAAAATCTCAAAAATCGTTTCTGCAATTTGCCTTTAGGCATGATGCATTGTACCACTAGTTTTTTATTAACTTTATACACATTTATCATAATAATTACTAAATATTTTTGCTTTTTATTACAATTAAAAAATATAATTTTAAGTAAAACGTATCGCAGTGTGAAATTAATATAAGACCATTATATTGTTTCAAGTAAAGATACTTAACAATTATGTTATTATTTATCTTGATAAAGTATCGAATCTTAAATTAGTATAGAAAAATTACTTTTTTTAAGTCTTTAACATATTGGAAATTATGCTGGCAATACATTGGAGAATTTTTAATTAGTTTTGCGTTTTTTTAACGGTATGTTCAATTTTGGTGAAAAGTTTTCAATATACTCGATACTGATGATGATTTAATTAAATTGGATATAATTTTGTTAAACTCTCAAAAAAATTACTTAATATTTTTTATTATTTAGTTGTATATAGTTGTAGTTGTATATATAATTTTTTATATTTCCAGTAATAACTTTCAATTTTGTTTACATTTGTTTAAAATAATAAAAATACCGGTATTACCGAAATACCGGTATTGAATTTTTTTTATCTCATACTTTGATTACAAGGATTTAATTTTTCATTTCAGGGCCACAGATTTACTAGCAAATGTTCGTATTTAGAGTACAAAACGTGTAAGAAACACGACAGGCATCCATCAGGACTACGATTGCACGAGAAAATTTTGCCATTAAACAAGAATATAGTATCAAAAATTGAGAAAATCTCTAAAGACAGCAAACATTTTATAGATCCTTTCATCCGCAAAAATAGCAATCCCATACAAAAGGTAAGAAGGTTAAATTTACATCTAGAAATGACTGTCTTAAGCAGTGATTTATAGTTTATTAAATGTTTAATTTTATTAGTTTTTATTTAATGTTATATATTTGTAGTTTATTTATATTAAGTGTTATGCATATATACAGGGCCGGTCCTGGAGTCTTTAGCGCCCGCATGCAACTTTTTTTTCTAGCGCCCCCCCCCCCCTATTAATTTTCACCGTTTTAACAGTTTATCATTAAAATTATATAAATATTAACATATTTTTAAAAAATTAATTTTCAATTATTCTGGATTTAGTACACAAAAAATTACATATAATCTAGAAGGGTATAAAAATATTGATTTTAAATTTATTTATTATTTTCGATATCAATAAATAAAACAATCCCTGTTATAATTTCACATTTTAGTAATATTCAATATGTAGTAAATTTGTTAAGAATGTAAGTTCGACTACCATAGCAAAAGAATTAATATTTTTGGTAGATTAAAGTTATAGAATTTAAGAAATGCATTTCAGAAATATAGTATTTATTATTTTGATATAAAGATCTTGATATCAGAATAATAAATACTATTTCTGAAATGCATTTCTTAAACTCTATAACTTCAATTTAACAAAAATATTAAGTGAAATAAATAAATTAATTTTTAATTATTCTGGATTTAGTGCACAAAAAATTAGATATGATCTAAAAGCGTATAAAATATATTGATTTTAAATTTATATAGAAAATCGAGGCGATTCGGGGGTTGATTATAATCAAGTATTTTGAAATTTTCAATTATTTTTAACGTATGTGCAATATTAATATTTAAAAAAACTAGCATTTAATTTTCAAACATAACACTCGTATTTCAGGTTCGATTTTTTAAATTTTAATTTAATTTAATTTTTCATCATTTACAATATCCAAAATTGCGTCGTAAACTTCACCTTATTGATATCGTAAGAGCCGTCATATTCAGAATATCAGCTTGTTGTTTTAAAGTTAAATTTTTAACGTATTTTAGAAGTATTGTTTAAAAATCAGTAAAAATGCAAAGATATTACACACAATATCGAAAAAAAAACTTATACAATATTGAACAATATTGAAAAAAAAACTTATTATATTTGGTATGTATTATTCTGTATAGTTAATAATTATTAAATTTAGAGTATGAACACCACAAGGTATAAAACAAGCCTCAAGATTTTTGTTCCAAAGTAAATTTTGCTTCCATATTTCATATTTGTTCCACGCATGTCTTCAACATTCAAAGTTCATCAGATGCGAAATATTTGCAACAAAAGCAAAAGTTACAATTCCATTTCTCGGAATAAACAAGTCATTTTCTAAGCACTGACTCTCCATTTTTTATAATTTGTTTATATTTTTTAACAATTTCCGATTCAACTAAATCAGCTCGCAATTTTTCGTCAATAATGCCCAACAATTAATTTAATCTTTTGCAGGTTTACGCTTATGGGATTGAACACTAGATAATTTCTTTTTCGATTCCACGGTAACTTCAAACAAAGAAAAAATTTAATAAGTAGATTAAGCAATAAACAGAGCTAATTGTTAATTGTTAATTGTTTCTACTGATATCACATTGCAATATAAATATGCTTTTTGTGTCTCCGTAACACTAGTTCAGTTAAATTATTTATTATAATTTATTAAGTATTCTAGATTTTCAATAAATAATTCTAGATTTTATATAAAAAAATATAAATATTATATTATAAATTTAATTTCCGAAACTCGTTTTGGCGCCCCCTAAGGCTTGCGCCCGCATTTTTTGCATGCATCGCATGCAAGGCAGGACCGGCCCTGCATATATATACAAAGCTATCTATGAACTCTTAATACTCTAATTTTCTCACATTATCTTTAGTTTATAATTTATACACTTTAAAATGTAACTATATTGTATTATTGCCTTGGGCGTTGAATAAATAAATAAATATCGTCATCAATGTAAATTGATAACCCTCTTATCTTCTAGGTTGTGAAATTAATGGAGACTGACCTGAGTATAACGCAGCAGCCTCCAACCCCGACAGCTCCCATATCGGCTAAGCCAAGTGTCCTAAAGTCACAGACCATCAACAAGAATGCCTTCCAGAAAAGTGCCAGTCTGGACAGCTGCGGAGCCCTGGCTCGATTTGCAGCAACTGGCAGGTGGCAACATCAGCACCCGCAGCCACAGAAACAGGACAGACGATGCGAATATCTATACAGAAAACATGCATTTAGGTAATAAAGGATTATGATGAATATTCGGTAAAGGAACTTGTTGTTAATTTTTTAAAGGAGATGTTTATGTTTGCCAAAAAATCCTATTTGCTAATTTTAAGTTATTCTGAATTGAATTAGAATTATTGAACTAGCCGTAAGTGGCTTAAGGCAATTAAGGCATCGTGCCTTAAGGCAAATTGCTGGAACTTTCCGTACCAAAAATTATTATTTTTTTAAAAACAATTAACATTTTTGAAAAAAAATTACTTCGAAAACATTAGATTTTTGAGAAACTATAAATTTGACAAAAAATTACTTTTTAAAAAAAATTTTTTTTTTGAAAACAAATTTTTTTTGAAAAGAAAAATGTTTTCTTCATTTTGACATATTTTGGAAATTCTGAAGGTTTTTTCAAAGCAATCGTACTGCTTTAACTGCATAAAGACGAAATATCAAAGCGCGTAAGCGCCGCGTCGCCGTCTAACGCGTAAACATTGGTACGGAACCCATAGGAATGTTAACAAAATGTATACTTATTGTTAAAATCACTATGTAATATCTGATAATTTGATGTGCATATGTCTAATGATCATTTTTGATCTCCAAATTGCTCATTTTTTTACTTTTTCCTCCATATCTCTAAAGTCGTTGGACCTGCCTTTCCAAAATTTTGAACAGTTCTTCATTTAGTCAATACAAATAAAATGTTTTTTGTATTATTCAAATCGTAGTAAATAAGTAAAACTTATTTGCTACGTACAAAGTAGCAAATTTAAGTTAAGTAAAGATAAATACATTATATAACAGTTTTGAATAATGTTTATTAGTAGTATGATGGTAACACTCGTGATATATAATAACACATTTGTTATATATTTATAATGGCATTAATAATATGTATAATATTTAAAAACAATAATGAAATCATAGTCATATCTCAAATATGACTTGATCGGTAATAAATAAATATTAATTAATTCTATAATATTCGTTCTCACAGTGGATTATGTTAAACGCCTAAACAAATATTGTTTTCGCAACTTCACTCATCATGTAATAATTGTGTTTGAAGAACTTCATGTAATCAAAATTAACATACATTCATTGACTGATGGTATTTTTTTTACTTTTTCGCTGGCGATATAATCTCATTCTTTGAACAGCTGTAATATCTGTCTTGCCAAAAAATATTTTCCATATCAATAACTTCAAAGATATATAGAAACTACGAATAATGTAGAAATAATTTCTAATCAATAAACTTACGTTTAGTACACGGCACAAATGTTTAATTTGAATTATTATTTTCAAGGAACGGGGTAAAATATTCTTCTGATTTAGGCATTTTTCATTAAATCTTGTTTTATGATGTAACTTTTGAATGTTTATTTATCTATGCCGATTTCCTTGTCTATATATTTGAAATGTCTCATTTCAAATGTCTAAATCTCACTAGTTAATTATTCGTTTGTCTTTATCTAGGAATCCTTATGCTCCTGCGATGGCTGGTGGCCATCACCAACATATGGATGAAGATGAAGGTGTTATGGATTGTTCGAATACTACGGGTGGATTTGTTAGTTCCAGTTCGTTAAGTTCAAGTGATTCTGAGGCCGTTCTTACTAATGAAAGTGACAGAGAAGGTAAATATAATCTAGTTTTTACTTGTATTAAAGACATTTTTGACAAAATTCCTGAACCTATTTCGAATATTCAAAAACAGTATCAAATATCAGTTGGGAATCATGTTGATCAATTTTTTATATTGATCGGCCGGACAATTTCTTGGTAATTGTTGAATTTTTTTGTAGGGTAAGTTATTGTAATGGGCCGAAAATCGAAATTCAAAATTCTTTCATTTCTCGACGTTTTGAAGGTTTCTGAACGTTTTGGCATACCTCAGAAAAAATGGATGTGTGTGTGTGTGTGTGTGTGTATGTATGTATGGATACAAATTTCCAGTCACGTTTTAGGGCGCACGGATCAACCGATTTGAATGCTTCAAAAAACACTCGATTCCTATTGATAGGGAAAAGAGCTGATTAGTTTTTACAAAGGCAGGTCCAGCCGTTTCGGAGAAACGGAGCAACGAGTGCAGAAAATAGAAATAGACTTTTTTAGAGAACGGAGTAAACGATTTGAATGATCTAAAAAACATTCGATTAGTAATGATTGGGAGAAGGGGTTATTAGTTTTTCGCAAAGGCAGGCCCAGCCATTTCGGAGATACAGAGCTAAATGTACAAACAATGGCAGTTTTTGAGAGAACTAAGCGTCCGATTTAAATGATTCAAAGAACTTTCTGCTTGTCTTAACAAAATAATTGATTTTGGAAAAAAAAATTGTACAATTTTTTTTTTTTTTTTTTGTATATCGAAAATAATTCAGATTTTATTTTTATTCTGACTAAAGTTCTAATATAACTTAAACAAATAATTTTAAATTTGCAATTCAGTTTATATAATTCTTATAAATATTAGACAATGTTACAAAATTAATAATAATCTATTTGAAAACATTCAGTATTCCTTGAACATTTCGTTACGATACGGGAAGTTCCAGCAATTTGCAAGGCACGATGCCATACACCTCACTAGTTTATAGTTTTGGTTTTAACGGACATCATAACTATCACCATTAAAGATATTTTAAATTTGCTTTAATTTGGAAATCAAACTTGATTAATTTTTTTAGTGAAAGGAAAAACTTTATCTTGGAAATAAACAGTTGCAAATTTTGAATAGCTAAATGTCAATTTTTATTGATGCGAGCTTAAGACAAAAAACCGCTTACATTTAAATTGATTTTGATAGTTTTCTAAAGTATTTAATTTTATTTTAATAGGTGATGATGAGCTGACAGATTTTCCTGGAAACGAAACGATGGCATCTATACAGCAGCATCAAGTACGCACAAACTCTGGACATGAAAAGCAGCACAGGACAAAATTATTATTAGTGAGTTTAAGAAAATCAACAAGAAAATTAATATTTATTTTTGGGTTATACTAGGTTGGGTATTTTATGGCAAAGTCACATTTATTTTGTTCCAAAAGTTACTTTAGGTATAGTAACTATTCTCGGTTACTAGTTGCACTTAATAAAATAAACTAAATAAATAAGTAAATCAAATATACTTAATGTGCAATAAACACAGTTATAGCATTTGTGGTATTTGGAGGTTAGTTTTCAGTCATTGGCAGTATCGGTTATGGCTTTTGACAATTTCGTAACTACCAACACATTGAGGATCAATATCATAAAAACATGATAAAATAATTTCACCATGAATACTAAATCTTCAACGTCCTCTTATTGAAAACATGCGATGCCACCACTACTAACATAACATAGCTCTGATATCTTTGATTTATTATTTTCTTACAGAGTGGCATGCACAACCAGCACATTCAACTAGGACAAATATTACCATCGGCTCAAGTATCATCACCAGTACATGTTACATCACCAGTCAGAACTGCGCTGGTTGCAACTTGTCCCATGGACGATGACATCATGTGGGGCGCAGGAGCTGGTGCCGGGAGTTGTTCGGGTGGTGATGGAAGTTTGGGGGACGTCAGTTCTGACCCAGTAAGAAAACTTTCTTATTTAATATTAATTGTTTACTATGCAGAAAGTATCTTTCTTTATAAAGAAACTATTTTCCTATGAGTAGTAGAGTATGTTAGAATACAAATGAATAAATTTTGTAGGTTTCTGGTTTGGATGTTCGTGAAATAAGAGCTGGCTGTAGGCGGATTAGAGAAGAAAGGCCGGGGTTTACAGTGTTGACATCAGCTAATGAATTATTGTCAAGGTAAGTAGATATAGAGATGGGCTTATCATATCCGAAGCCGGATTGGTTAATGTTTGACTCCTTCAGAAAGGAGTTTTATCCACTTAACAACGCCACAACTCCGACAGCTTTCAAACATAATACTTGACACAAATGTGTTCTCTAGTGTGTTGTTAACATATCTAAGGATTTGTTAAGACTTTGAAAATAATTTACAACTAGCTGTAAGTGGAATTCTGTCTTAAGGCAATTAAGGCATCGTGCCTTAAGGCAAATTGCCGGAACTTCCCGTACCAAAAATTATTATTTTTTTAAAAACGATTAACATTTTTGAAAAAAATTTACTTTGAAAAAATAAGATTTTTGAGAAACTATAAATTGGACAAAAAATTACTTTTTTTTGAAAAACAATTTTTTAAAGATTTTTTTTTTTTTTTTTTTTTTTTTAAAAAAATTTTTTTTTCTTTATTTTGACATATTATGGAAGATCTGAATTTTTTTTCAAAGCAATCGTTCTGCTTTAACTGCATACGGACAAAATATAAAGCACGTAAGCGCCGCGTCGCTGTCTAACGCATAAGCATTGGTACGGAACCGATAGGAATGTTAACAAAATGTATACTTATTGTTAAAATCTCTATAAAATGTCTGATAATTTGATGTGCATATGCCTAATGATCATTTTTGACCGCCAAATGGCTCATTTTTTTACTTTTTCCTCCATATCTCCGAAACCGCTAGACCTACCTTCATGAAAATTTTATCGATTCTTCATCTTGTCAATACAAGTGAAATGTTTTTTGAATTATTCAAATCGGACGCTCCGTTCTCTTAAAAACTTAGTTACCGTTTTCGGCACTTTTTGCCCCGTATCTTCGGAACGGCTAGACCTGCCTTCGCCAAAAACTAATCAGCACGTCTCCTTATCAATACGAATCGAATGTTTTTTGAATTATTCAAATCGGTTGATCCGTGTTCCCGAAATCGTCGACGAAAATTTGTATCCGCACATACATACACACACGTACATACATACATACATACATACACACACACACACACACACATATATATCCATTTTTTCTAAGGTATGCCAAAATGTTCAGAAACCTCTGAAACGTAAAGATATATCAAAAATTTCATTTTTGATTTTTTTGCGATTACTATAACTTGCCCTACGGGAAGTTAAATAGTTCAAACATTTTTGTTCATTCTATTAATTGCTATTTTATGCAATTGTTATAATAAAATGAACTGAACGAATTTTAACATTGATTTGTCTTTTATAGATTTTTGCAAGACCGGCACCAGGCTGAATTACGTCTTGGAGCCCTGGACGCTGCAGAGATTGAAAAACTTCGGTCACTTGCAGCCATGTACTCGCTGGACATGACTACAACACCAGAAAGAACAATACTAACAAAGACTAGGTAAATAATATATTTCATTTATAAATATTACGATCATATCTTGGTACAAAAGAGTTCAATTTATTTCTCGTAATACTTTTAATCGATCATAAATTAATTTAATTTTTATTGATTAAGTCGAATATGTACACATATCGGGAAGTTCATGTAACTTGCCTCAAGGCTAAATACCAATACCAACTTGTTAAGAGTTTTATTTAAATTAAGTTACATTTCTATTCTGTACCTAATGTATTTTTATTGTAACAGTAACACAATGCAAGCCGTGAAGGTGGAACAGACCAACTTGTCTCAAAGGTTGTTAACAGATTTCAAACGGAGATGCTATTCGAGTCCTGGACACAAGCATAACCAGCCAGATTCTGATAACAACTGAACTTTCTGATATAAATATTAGGTGAGGAAAGAATTTATATCATTTATTATTTATATATCATCATTAACTTCCCTAGTAGGGTAAGTTATAGTAATTGCAAAAAAAAATCGATAATGAAGATTTTTATATATCTTTACGTTTCAAAGGTTTCTGAACATTTTGGAATACCTTAGAAAAAATTGATGTGTGTGTGTGCAGATACATGATTTCGTCGACGATTTCGGGCGCACGGATCAACCGATTTGAATAATTCAAAAAACATTCGATTCGTATTGATAAGGAGACGTGCTGATTAGTTTTTGGCGAAGGCAGGTCTAGCCGTTCCGAAGATATGGGGCAAAAAGTGCCGAAAACGGTAACTCAGTTTTTAAGAGAACGGAGCGTCCGATTTTAATAATTCAAAAAACATTTTACTTGTGTTGACGAAGTGAACAACTAGTAAAAAAATTGGGAAGGCAGGTCCAGCGGTTATGGACTCTCAATAAAAATAAGTTAAAAAAATGTCACTGGCGGTCAAAAATATGTAATATATGTACATCAAATTATCAGATATTTTATAGATTTCTAATAATGTGTACACATTCTGTGTAAATTTTTTTGAGTTCCGTACCAAGATTTTTGCACGATGCCTTGCACCCCACTAGTTTATTTTAACAGCGATCAAAACTTAAGGGGGAAGTCTGCTTTAGTGGCTTAAAAAACGATTTTTTTTTGCAAAAATGTCTTCCAAAACTAGCCAAGAATATATTCCTAAAATTTCAGAAACAAATTCAAATTATTTTTGGAATTACAGAAGAAATAGTGAGCAATAGTTTTAATTTTTTAGATTTTTCCTAATTAGCGGGAAAGATGCCAAAAAAAAACTGAACGTCCTATCGAAACGAGATAGAATTCTTTGTATTCAGAATAAAATTCTATCCTAGTTGAACCTCAAAAGAAATCTACTTTTTATTAAAATTAACCTACTTTTTATCAAGCAACCAAAAGTGAAATTTTGTATGAAAAAACATTATTAACTTCCCATAGGGCAAGTTATTGTAATGGGCCGAAAATCGAAATTGAAATTTTTTACATTTCTCGACGTTTTGAAGTTTCTGAACGTTTTGGCATACCTCAGAAAAAATGAATGTGTGTGTGTGTGTGTGTGTATGTATGTGTGGATACAAATTTCCAGTCACATTTCCGGGCGCACGGATCAACCGATTTGAATGGTTCAAAAAACATTCGATTCCTATTGATAGGGAAAAGAGCTGATTAGTTTTTGGCAAAGGCAGGTCCAGCCGTTTCGGAGATACGGAGCAACGAGTGCAGAAAATAGAAATCGACTTTTTGAGAGAACGGAATATCCGATTTGAATGATCTGAAAAACATTCAATTAGTAATGATTGAGAGAAGCGTCTATTAGTTTTTTGGCAAAGGCAGGCCCAGCCATTTCAAAGATACGGAGCTAAATATGTAAGAAATGGCAGTTTTTGAGAGAACTAAGCGTCCAATTTAAATGATTCAAAGAACTTTCTGCTTGTCTTAACAAAATAATTGATTTCGGAAAAAAAAATTGTATAGTTTTTTTTTTTTTAGTTTTTCTTGTATATCGAAAATAATTCAGATTTTATTTTTAATTCTGACTAAAGTTCTAATATAACTTAACAAATAATTTAAATTTGCAATTCAGCTTATATAATACTTATAAATATTCGACAATGTTACAATATTAATAATAATCTATTCAAAAACATTCAGTACTCCTCGAACATTTTGTTACGGTACGGGAAGTTCCAGCAATTTGCCTTAAGGCACGATGCCACCCACCCCACTAGTTTGTTTCCAAGTTTGGTGAATTAATTTTTCTGGATTTTTTAGGTTCAACTAGAATCTATACCATTGAAATTATATATTTGTTTTGATTTTTTTTTTGTTTCGGATGGAATTTGTGACCTACGGAAAGTTAATAAAAAAGTAGGTCACTTGAAATTGCCAAAGTTGACCCATGGGTCACAAATTGCCTACCATTGCTTTTTTAAAATTATTTAATTTATTAATTACTAATATCTATTTATTTATTATTTTTCAGAATTGATCTCTTTGACTGAAGAAGACTCTTCACACTGGTCTCATTTATAAAACGGAGTTTTGAAATTGCGGTTGTTCGTATATAAAATTATAATTATATATATATATATATATATATATATATATATACAAAAGCTGTTTAATACAGCTTGAATTTTTTTTGTACATACCAGATAGAATTTATTAACAATTCTTTACTAATAAGTTAGTGTGCATTTTAACAATCAGTCTTTGAATGTTTATACACATGTTTATATGAAGAAGTAGATTGTTTTTAAATCTATATCAATTTTTGAATAAAAAATAATGAATGAGGTGAAACTTTGTAAAGCGGACTTAAATACAATAATAACAATAGGTAGTTATTTTTTATTAAATATTTTAATAGAATAGAGAAGTACACCTAAGTCTGTTTTTACACGGTAGATTGGTTCCAGAAGAAGCCGTGTAAAAAAAAAAACGTGTAAAAAAAGACATTGATCTTATACAAAAATGGGTGATTTGTTCCTAATCTCTAAAACCTATTAAAATTAGTGAAAAACAAGAATTTTTAAGAACAAGAATTCATGTTTATTTTATTAAATCAAATATGTAATGCTTATTTTCACAAGCATAGTATTTAATGATAAAAAAGATATGCACTCTAATCTTAAAAGTAATATAAATTAAATGTATGGCAAGTTCAGGAACTAAAAAACTATGTTGTGAATGAAAAGAATAGGTTATTCAATTTTTAAGGTAAAAAATAAAATTCACTTAAATCTTTAAGCTAGTGTTCGCAAACTATCGATATACTATACTATTGATGGTTTCAGACTTTTTTCTTTCATAAATACTTTTTTGTGATATGAACATACTTCGCAAAAATTAAATTTGACAAAAAAAAATTAAGTACATAAAATTTCAAATCGTGCTAAATGAGATAAAATCATGTAAAAAATTAAAAATATTCAATTTTCAAACCGTGTTATATCAAAACTGTGTACAAACAGACTTAGGTGTACCCAATTTATAACACTTTTTTAAATTTACGGAATTTTCAGACTATTCCTAACCTTGTCTTTTTCCGCATTACAAGTTTCACTTCACATCCACCAATTTTTATATAAATGTATTTTCTTTTTGTGGAACTTAGAATTTTAAAAACGCACTTTGTGACTCAAATTAATATTAAGTCGGCAACTATGTTTAATGTGAATGTGTTCTTTTTTGTTGTTAATTAATAATTATGTAAATATTTAATAATTCATTATTCATTTTAATTTGTATTTGTATAGATACATATCTTTATATTTATATGCTAACGATTGTATATAGTTTGTGTATTCATCATATTATATTATTCTAAAAAGTTAAATAAATGTATGTCTTATCCATGAAAAATAAACATGATCGAAATGTTCTCAAGTTTTATTTTTAATATTAACTAATTAACAATTAGTTATCCTAAGACTAGGTTATATATATATATATATATATATATATATATATGTTAAATTTTTATAATTTTGATGTTGAGATATGTGAGATTCAGTCTTCAGGGCAATACATCAATTAAACACGTGTATGACTTTAAAACATTTTTATTGTTTCCATACGTTTCGACACATAGTTTTGTGTCATCCTCAGTGGACTATGTGATTGTAGAATCCTAATTATTTTATAGTAATAATTGTTCACAAATGTACAATAAAAACAATTCTTGTCACTTTCATCTTTAAAGACTTTCATCAAAAAAATTATACTTTCTTTAAAACATTAATATTTTCTTTGAAATACTTTGTTCTTTATTTCTAAAAAATTCTTTTGATAAAAGATTGATACTATCTTTAAAAAATTGATTAATTGCCTTAGAATTAAAGAAAAACTTTACAAAGAGAATAAATATCAATTTTTTAAAGAAAGCAACATTGAAAAATGTAAACTTAAAATAACAATAAATAAATAAAATATAATTTACAAAATTTTGGACGTTGAAACATATTTCAAATATATATATATATATATATATATATATATATATATATATATATATAATAGTCTTAGGATAAGTAATTGTTAATTAACACCATTCTTTTCAAACATATTTTAATCAATTTGAATATGATATCAAGTTTACTATTCACATCTTTTTTAATAACACATTTTACTTGAATATGAAATCAA